ATGCCAAATACATAACAGGTAAGATGAATAACGTAATAACAGGTTGTCATCTTGGTTTTAAGAGTGCTCTAGTGAAGGTGCAGCAATACTCATCTGCTCCTCCTCGGAGCGGGGATCAGTCCGCCTTGAAAAGTCATCTGCTGAACTCTTGCCACTGTTTCTGATGTTGAGTGTGTCGCAGTAGCCATTTTCAATCATTGTAGTGATGTGTTTTAGGTATTTCAACATTTGTTAATGCAATACGTGACGTTTGGGTTTAATTAACACCACTGAGCCTCCCATGTTTCAGAGAGCAGCAGCCACTGGTATATAAAAACACTTGAATTTGTTGTAGGCCTATTTGTGTTTTAGTACCTCATTAAAGAGATTAAAGAGTAATTTAACCATGAAACTTTGATGATTTATAAACAAAGTGAAAAAATCCTGGTTTGTCATTCATGTGTTTTTGGACATTGTGCTTAGTGTAATAAAGAGGCTGCTTATGTAACTTCAGGTGTTTCTATTTTAACAATACAGAAGGACTTTTTTGTTTCTTTACTTATTGAGACAATTTCACAGTGAACAGAGCAGGCTGCTGTGATAAGGTACTGTTTGGTGGTATAGATTTGGATAGTTTTTGTGTTCTGTCAATGCTTCAGTGAACCCTCTTGCTCAGGGCAGAGGATCGTGAGGAAAACCTCCTCACTGTCTGTCCACTGTCAGTCAAAGATCCTTTATTATGATTACCAATCAGCATCAAGCAGCCAGCTTAATGACCCACACCTGCTCCATAGACCCCCTAAGAGGCTGAGCCTCACAGGAATCAACGTATTTTGGCGTGTTATCCAATCAGGGCTCTGCTTTCTCTAAGCTTACCTCAATAGACAGAGGTTCAAACCTCAGCAGTGATTAGACCGACATTTCAGACTGACAGATAGCTTCTTGCTGCTCCAGAGTGGAGGGAAGTTCACTTCAGGGGAAGAAAAAATAAGCTGATTAATCTGCAACATACTCATATTTCTCATATTTAATGCAGTATAATGAATACATTTAGTATATTTGAAAATGCATATTTTACCTATCAATTAATGGATTTACAGGGGTTTAGTCTCCCTAGTGTTCAGTGATGAATTGCTACTGTTATATAGAAAAGAGAAGCACCACATTCACACATTCCCAGGATTTCCTTTGATGCAGCAATGACTACTGCCAGTAGATGTCCCCAAAGGGGACTGAATGAAGCTTCAGGTAATAAACCACTTTGAGACAAAGGATCAAAATGATTAAATGAAGGCAAATAATTGATACTGAACTTCCTAATACTTTTCTATGTGCTAATTACATTGCTGAGGAGCTTCAGCAACAGCACAGATTTATAGTCCCCACACTACAGAGATATTGGAATCTAAATGTTTCTCTGACTGTGACTGGCTGGATGTGCTCTCTTCATCCTCTGACATGGGAGTTGGCTTAGAGCTCGTCTGGCTAGCTCTGTTTCTCCTGGACGGTGCCGCCTTTTACAGTTGATTTTTGTATCTCTGCTTCCGTCTCCTTGAACCCCAGTTGGCCTCGGCAGATGGCCGCTCACACTGAGCCTGGTTCGGCTGGAGGTTTCTTCCTGTTAAAAGGGAGTTTTTCCTCTCCACTGTTGCTACAAGCATCCTCCATAAAAGACATTTCCTCCCAGCGCTGCGTGTCCCGCGCCCGTAACATCATAAATGATCCCTCACATCCCCACCATGGACTTTTCTCCCTGCATCTTTCTGGAAAGAGGCTTTGAAGCATCCGATGCAGGTCCAGCAGATTCCAGAACAGCTTCTTCCCCACTGCCATTAGACTGCTGAATGTTGTGTAAAAAAAACCAAACAAATCCCCCCCAAAAAACTGAAGAACTGTAACTATACAGTCATATGTTTACAGTATTTTTTTTTTATGACAATGTTTTTTATGACTGCTGCTTAACTTATCAAGGCTGCACTTTAAAAAATGAAATAGTCTAGAGAGCTGTACTTAAAAAAATACACAAAGTGTACAAAAGGAAAAAATGAAATCTGTCTAAGTCTGTGTAAGTCTTATATTAAACTCCATTTACAATCCTATGAGCACAGAGCAGTCGGCTTGTTTGGACTCATAATGAATGTCATCAGGTTGAAACCAATCAGGTGGGTAAGGATGTGACTACAGGTGACAGGCTGTTTCTTGTGGTTTTGTAGTCCATGGAACATGTCAAGCTGCTGCAGAAATTCTCCAGGGAACAATTTCTGCCAGTTTAGCTTAAATAAGGTGTGCTATCTTATATTTATAATTAATCTATTATTTATTATTCAATTATCTATAATTTTGGCACTGAAAGTGGCGCATCGTAAAGAACTGAAAACAAAAATGTTTGGGTTTTGTTACAATTAAAAATTAGATGTTCAGTTCAGTTTATTCCTCTTGCTCAAATAGACGACATTTGTAGACAGTTCATTTAAATCTAGAGCTTATGATTTGGTTGGAAGGATAAATGTCATTTTAAGTTTTGAAATGAATCTCTTTATATTAGGCGGAAGAGGAAATTTAAGAGATTTGGTTCTCAATGCACGGATTTTATTTTTGGAGGAAAATCTTTTAACTGGATTATGATATATTTGTTAAGCTTTTTCTCAAAAATCTGTTTTTTTTGCATTTTTTGTCTGTTAGATTAATTCCTTCAATCAGTGCAATTTTAAGTTTCGGAACTGGAAAATTACTAAAGCAACCTTGCACTAAATTCATATTTTTTTTGGCATATTGTTTACAATTTGTCCATATTTCAGGGATGGGAATTTAGCAAACGGATCAATTTCTATGCAAGATGACTCTGTTCTTCATGTGAGGTAAAGTTATATTATTTACCCAAAAAGTAAAGTTTTCTATGGAATTCTTAGATTTTAATTAAATTTAAATAAATTAATAAATTTCCTTTATAAGTTTAGAAGAAAGAGCTTAAGATTTTGGAGGATAAACAAGCCTGGATAACGATTCCGGTTTAGTCAATGGAGTCCTACCAAAATGAGTAATATCCCTTTGTAACCAATTATCTAAAATAGTTTGAACTACGGTCTAGTCTGGAATGTTATATAAGCTTGTCTCTGGACCACCACGAATTTTCATTATCTCACATTTGTCAATATTAAGACCTGAAGCCTCAGAGAATAATTTAATCACCTTCAAAGTAATTGGAATTTGATCCTTTTTCTTTAGACATGTTTTGTCGTCTGCTCACTGACTGATTAAAATAGATTTTTCATTAATACATATTCCGAATAATATATTCAAAAGATTTTAGATGAATAGAAAGAAATACATTGACTATAATAAACAAAAGAGAAACTACAGCCTTGTCTGATGCCACAATTGATATCAAATCCAGGTCCAGGTTCCTCCTGGGAGTGAGACAGAGCTATTAATGTTTTTTAAAAAGCTTTAAAAGTTTTCTCTGAAGCCAAAATGCTTTAAAGTTTCAAATATAAATTTATGCTTGATGGAAAAAGGGAATAAGACAAGTTCATCACCTGCAACAAGTAGTGATAATCAATAATATCTAGACCCAAATAAATGTTATGTATGGATTGTCCTTTCAGGAATCCTGATTGTGTAAAGCTAATAATCTTTGAAAATCCTTATTTTAATCTACATTCCAAGACAGTTGTTAGAATTTTATAATCTGTATTTAGAAGAGTGACTGGTTTTACATCTTTTAGTTTGCGTTTGTCTTTACTAGGATAAGGAATTAATTTGATTATACTACATTTCATTGTTGTCATGAGTTCATTGGAAACTATACATTCACTATAAAATGTAGCAATTCAAGATCTTCTCAAAAAGTTTAATTATTGCAGGTTAATCCATCCAGACCAGGAAAACAGAGGATTTTTTTTTTTTATTGCGACATCAAATTCTGCAATATTTAAATTATCTTCACACAAATATTTAAAGGAACCTTCTATCGCTGAGATTAGATGTGCAATTTTGCTCATTGTGACAGGATTTATACACATTGCTGTAGAATAGACTTTGTTATACGGGATCACTACATTCTTTGCAGTTTATTAATAGTGAATTTTGATGTTGTCTTTTCTAATCTAGAAAGATAAGGATACATTTTTTCCATCTTCTATTTGGCTCTAGGTTGTATGTATTCACCTTTGCGTTACCAGCTAGGGGAACTCAGTATTTTGCTTCAGAAAGGTACAAAGTTAATATTATTGCTTTTGGCAAAACTGAATCCTTGTGATTCTTTAATAAAATGGACGGTCAGAAGAATAGTGACTTTCAAAACTTTAAAACTTCCAAATTCCGATTAAAAACATGTCTGGTAGATAAAAATGATATTCCTCATTGTGAGCTAATGTGTAACATTTTACATATAGGACTAAAATATTAAAACAGAGCTCGTCATCCAGTGGTTATTTAATGCATCTTGAATATAATTATAACAAAGAACCGTTTCTAAGATTCAAGAGTATTGAAGATTTCTCATTTTTTGCTTCCAGAGGATCCATTTAAAATCTAATCCTGTTTCTTCTGTCTGAGTCATCTGCAGAATGTACCTGGTTATATTCAGGAAGCAATAGCTTGTAAACATGATTAAAACAGGTCCCTCTTCCCTCAGTCTGTCGTTCATTCAGGCCTGTTCACAAAACATAACTACAGAGCAAGTAGAGGGTCAATTGTTCTCTATGTTCACCAGACTTTTTAAGAGTTTCAACCAAACAACATAGTGGATGCATAATTTACCCGTTAGATGGGTGAAAGTAGAAACTTTGAAAGGCGATAATAAATCTCAACATTTATTCTTAACAAATGCTTTGTTTTCTGGGTTTTAGGATTGATGCCATTATTTTGGTTGGTCAAGTGTGCCATAGCTTGTTGTTTCTTGTTCATTTTTTCTTCAAACCACACAAAATGTTTTGCTTTTTACCTTTTTGCTGAGTCACGATTCCAACAAGGCCAAAGAAAAAAAACAAAAAAACAACAAGAACAGCAACAATGCATGTAAGTTCCCTTTATTTTCTCCATTCATGAAAAGGACCTTACTCTTCTAAATTAATTAAACCAATTAAACAGCAGCCTTAAACATTTACAAAATTAAAAAGAAAAACAAAAACACAGAGGGTGAAAATCATAAATATTCACAGTATCCGTATTAAATTAATCACAGCTCCCCCCTGTTCACTACCAGCCCCCCTGTGTGAGGCAAATTAAATTTCTCACTCGTTTCCTGTCAGAGAGGAAGATCTCACTCTCTTCAGGTGTAACAGTACAGCTTCTCTACAGACATAAGGTAGCTGCTGTTGGGTGTCAGCATGTGCAAATTCAAGTAACTTAGAATTGCTCACAAACATTCTGACATTTCATTTCGCAAGCAGATTTTTTTGTATTTAAAGTGCTTATTTTTGACAATTTGTCTGTGAGCGTTTGGGTCGCTGCATGTCGGATAAGACAGATCTTAAAGTAATACAGAATGTACCCTGGTTATAAAAAAAAATAAAAATAAATAATTGGAATTAATCCAGGCACCTTGTTGGTCGGGAAAGCAAAACATTCAAGTATTCTTTCTCATAGTGAGAAAATGTAAAAGCAGATACTCTTCCCTGCTCTCATCTTTAATGTGTGCACTTTTTTTTCCTTCTCTCTGTTAATCCCTGCTGCTTCGGCGGCTTGCTGATGAACGGACGCTGCTGCTGCTACTGCTGCTGGATCGACGTCGTTCCTCCAATCTTTGGGGGTTTTCCTCCTTCCAGCTCCCGCCTCCTCGGCCACCCACCGCCTCTGGATTTTCTCTCTCCCTGTTGCGATCTAAAGCATTCTTCTCCTTCCCTGGCTTCTCTTTCTGTACCCTGCTCTCATCCCTGCTTTTGCTTTGCATTAATTCCCAGTCGGTAAAGCTTCTGTAAGAGCCTGCAGGAGGCCCATAGGAGTGTGTGCCCCTATCCCTGTGGTGGCTGTAAGCAGGAGGAGAGTGCTGAGCCCCTGAGGGTTGGTCTTTGTAACTGTAGTCTCCTGTAGGATAGTGATAATTGTAGTCAAAGAGAGAGTTTTTGTCTTTGCTCTCAAAGTCCAGGAATTCTTCTCTGTGTCTTTTGGCTGAATGTTGATCAGGCATAAAGGTCGATCTGGAGGATGTTCTGCTGTGAAAATAACTCTGGACACTTTCTCTTGAAAGGTCTTTCCTCTCTCCATCTTTTGAAACTGAGAAATGAGAAGAAGAGTGAGATGAAGACATATTTCTCTTTGACAACAGGACTTCTGGGTCTCTCTTCCTTTCCTCGTCCTTCAGTCTTTGCTTTGAAATCTCCTGCTCTCGTCTTTCCTGCTCTTTTATTCTCCCTTTGTCCCTTTCTTGCTCACTGCCACCAGAGGGCGCCACAGCAGAAAAGCGCCCAGAAGAAGCAGAGTTTTTCCTTTTCTCCTGGCCCCTGCCTTCCACTGTCACTCTGATCCCGTCTCTCCCTCTCTCTGTTGATCTGAGACCCTTCTGTTTATTGTCTCCTACTGACTCAGAGTCTGTCCTTGTCTCTGGTGGCTGTCCTGCTCTCTTTTCGCTTTTATCCGAGTCTTTTTCCTTTTTCTCCCACTTGATGCGAGGTACCTGAGGAGAGGAGATGAAATGTGAAAATTCTGCACAATGTTTGTCCTTTCAGAATCAGTGAAGAAGTCCAAAAAGAAATCCAAAGTAAATATTTTTCTTAAATTTTATAGTGGAAAAATGATTTTTTTTTAAACCTTTTATATTGGTAAAGAAATAAGAAAAAGCAATCAAATGAAAATGTTGACTCTCTTAGAACTGAGTTTGATAAAAATAAGTCTACTCAGAAGATTTAAACCGAATGCAACAGATAAATGGATAGAAAAAAATGATTTTCAGTTGAAAAAGGTATTATTCAATATCAACTGACATAATGCACGCTTTCCTCCAACAGCTGCTCAATAATATATATGCTACAGAGGAAACAGCAATGATTTATCATTGTGTTTTGATGTAAAAACCTTCATTCATCCCTTTTCTCTGATTATTCAGAGATATTTATATTGTGTCAGAGTGACCAAGCTCTGCAGTCAAAACAAAGCAAACAAACAGTCTTCCACATCTTCAACACTGTCCATGTAGAACATCTATAAATGTGGACTAACACCCCAAGCTCTGAGCTTTCCAGAGGACAGAATGAAGAGCAGACATGCCCTGTGTTTGATATTTAATAGTTTAGTTTACACCTTTTAAATTGTTTTTTTTTTTTCTGTGTGTTTTGAAGAACCTGTAGCAGAAAAAATGACTAGCTTTGAGATGTCAGGTCACAGTAAGAACTTCTACACCAAAAATTTTTTCTATGATGCCAATATAATTTATCTAGCATGAATAGGATATATTCAGGTCTGCAAGATCGTTGTTTTAACTGATTGAGACCATCAGGGATATTTTTTTTCACCAAATGGTGGAATACTCTCATAATGATGAAACAACAATTCCGTTTATGTACATATATAAACACATACAAGTGAACACACATAATCCTAAATGAACCAACTCAGGTTGTTAGTCCTGTCCTGATTTGACCTGTAGACTCACCAGTGTAGGCTCATGTTGTGTCACTTCTGCACAGGCATTTGGTTCTTCCTCCAGTAGCTTTCCCCTTGCTGTCCTCTCCTGTCTCCATCCATAAACGCTGGTTAAAGAGGTACAGATAAAATACTATACTGAGATAAAATATTTTGTTTAATAAAATCCAGTCAGAACTACACATTCAGTGACAGCTTTGACAACAAATATATAATCAGTTTTGTTATTTAGTTTAAAAAACATTCTGGATTAGCCACTGCTTGATTGCAGATGTTCTGTGGCACGGATACCAGCTTTGTTAATAAAGAGACATGTATAGGGTGCAGAGACAGCAGAGCTACCAGGCACTCGGAAGTCAACAGAACTAGGCAGAGCTATGTCATTATGAACAATTAATAGGGCAGAGCCAGTATTATGCATAGCTTCAAAACCAGAAAGACATTTTTCTAAAAGGTTTTTATTCTAAGAGAAGTTAAATAAAACCTTCAGAGATTAAAAAGTAAATTAGGAATGGGGAAAGTTGGAATTCTCACGAATACTGTACAGCAGTGTTCCCAACCTTTTTTTATAAAAGCTTACCCCTTTGGGCATTTTGTTTTATCATCAGTAACCTCTCAGTATTGATGACTGTCTAAAAGTGGAACATACAATAACTGATTATAAAACAAAAACTGTTTTACTTGATGTATTAACTTGAGTATTTATTCTTTCCTTTCATGAATAAGTTGTCTGGATGTTAGTAAGGAATCAAAATAAATACAACATTATAAACCTGTATTTATTAAACTGGAGCTTCTCTGAGTGACTCCCTTATAATCACATTTAAACTTGAGGAATTTGGAACAAAACACAGGACAAAAATTATAGCTAGACTGACTTAATTAGTTTTACTTTGTTTTCATCAAAACACCTGAGCAGCTTTGATGATCTCTGATAGCTCAGTGTGAAAAACAGCTGATCCCAGTCTGTTCTCTACATCCAGTCTGTTCCTCTGCTTGTTTTGGATTTGTCACAGATGAAAGTGAACTCAAATATATAAGAAAAAAAATACCTTTTGGTTCATAAAAGCTTGTTTAATGTTTCAATTTGGTCCTCAGAAAGCAAAACAGATCCCAGCTCTAATTTATTTGACTACCTAATAAATAGAATATGTTTATGTACCACTTGCAATGCACTAGTGGACCACTAGGGGTAGGCGTACCCGAGTACACCTATCACTGCTGTACACTACTGCTTACAGACATCCTCCATCCAGTCTGACTGAGCTTTATGTGATAAACTGAAAGGTTTAATGGTTGTTAACACTATGATCACTATCAGTGGAGCAGTCAGCTGATACTATAACACAATGAAGGAGACAGGAAACAAACTCATGCAGTACCTTACAAATGAATTTATACCATTTCTCAAAGGATAAGACAATTTTGCTGACCTGCTGTGTTCTGATGTGTCATTTTGTTCATCAAGAGGTTTTTTTGTTTTGCTTCTCTGTGAGCTTAAACTATCTGCCTCTTCTTTCTGTGCTCCATCTTTGTTTTCTCTGCCAACACTTCCTCTGTCTACTTGTGTGAGGAGCAGTTTGGGACCTCTGCAGCCATCATCTTCTCTCACCGCCTCTTCTTCCTTTCCTGTTGTCTCCTTACTGTCCTCCAGTTCTTTTAGAGCACAGTGCCATAAATCCATGTCCCCCTCCTCTCTCTGGTCCTCTCTATCCTTTCTAGGGATTTCTATCTCCGTGTCAACAGCATTTATATCAGACTCTCTGATCTCTTGGAAGAGAGATGGCCTCTCCAGTAACAAAGGTCCAGAGTTTGGTTCTTCTATTTCATTAACTTCAGTTTTTTTATTTTCTTTCTCCAACTTCTCTTCTGTAAAAGCAGACTCTGCTCCTTCCTCAGTACAGATTCCCAGACTGGAAGAGCCCTCTTCAATCTTGTCGTCCTTCTTTTTCCCATCCAAGTTGATATTGATGCTTATCTTCTTCTGAGAAATCATCTTCACCCCTCCTTCCCAGATGTCTTGTTTAGTCAGAGGTGCTGCTGGGCTCTCTTTCTTAGTGCTTTGGGTTCCTCTGCCAGACGGCTTTAGTGATTCACGTTGAACACTTTTGGGCTTTTCTGCAGATTTAGGTTGGAGGCATTTGCCACTTTTAGTCTTACTAAGAATATCCCTGTCTTTACTATTTCTCTCTTCATCCTGTTTTTTTCTCTTTCTGTCCCGCTCTGATTTTGAGTCGTGAGTCTTGCTGCCTTCAGGGTATGGATGTACTTTGGTGTCTAACCTATCCGTGTCTGTGATGGGTTGAACTTTGTGTTTTTTCTCACTGCTTTTAACTTTTTTTGACCCTCGCTCTCTTTTCAAGTTAGTTTCCTCTTTGCGTTTGTCCTTTACTTTGTCTAAACATTCGTCTGGTTTCAGAAGAGGTTTAACTGATGTGTGCTTTACTTTTGGATCATCCTTGCAGCTGCTTGGTTCAGTGATGCGCCGCCTCTTGTCCTGTCTGAGAACGTTGATGGAACCAGAAGAATCAGGCGAGGGAGATTTCTCAGATTTTTTCTTCTTTGGTTGTTTTTTGAAAGCGCTACAGTCTTCATCCTTCTTCTTTGTTTGTAGATTGTCACCTGTTATGGTTTCTTGTAGATTTACTTTCTCACTGCTTTTTGGTGGAGAATGTGTCAGATTCCTATTCTTCTCATTTCCCTCCTCCAAATGATCCTTAGGTTGAACTTCAATTTCTAATGACATGGAAGGTTGGTCATTGGAAGAATGAGCGGGTGAAGAATGGCAGTCGTGGGCTTTAGAGGAGCAGCTGTCACCTGAGGGATGACGTATTGGGGAATGATGATCATTTGAAGAATGAGATGGAGGGGAACGACTTGAGTCCTCAGATGTAGGAGAGCGGTCTCCCTTCCTGACTGCGTCTCCTTCTTGTTTTAGGTAGTAAGAGTCTTGAGTATATGGTGGTGGAGGAGGAGGAGGGAAAGGCAGCTGGTGAAACTGGCTAATATAGCTACTGATATATTTATTGTACCATTCTTGGTACTCCCTCTTCCACAGAAGGTAGTGCTGCCTCTCCAGCTCCAGGCATCTTCTATCATTCAAAGCCTTAGAACCTAAGGATTTTCTCTTCTCCCTGGATGAGCGCTCCCCTCGTCTCTTTGAGCCATGGCTGCTCAAGGCTGACCTCTTGCTGTGGTGGTGGCTCATCCGGCTGTGGTCTGAGGACGACTTGGATCTACAGTTGGAACTACTTGGAGGTGAAGAAGATGAGGACGGAGTGGGAGAACGAGGCCGTTTGTACCCAAAGGACCTGGAAGGGTTAGAGTGGTTGTGGAAAGCCTTTTGATTGGAGAAAGGAGAGCAATGTCTGGGGAAAAAAAGAACAACCCTGCTGAAGACAATACAGATATTGCTCTTTTAAGAATGGTAGCTGCATGAAAGGCCAATTAAATCATTTCAAACCGTTATGTCTTGCATTATACCTACATAGCAAAAACATAGCTCCTAAAGAATAACATAAGACCAAAGGACACTGATAAAAAAAAAAGCTTTTAACACGTGTTAAGGACTTTTAACATTTAATAAAACAGTTAACAGGTTTCCTGTCTGGGATTGTGCTGCACAACCCAACCATTAAAAAGCATAATTTATGTAAGGGACACTCTTACTATGAAATAAAACTCTAAAGCTAAAAGAAAATAATCAAAATTAAATAAATCTGCTGGTCTGTGCTAAAACAGAAAACACCAACAACTAAAAAGATACAAGCTTTGTTTTAGCAAATCCTCAGAAACCTGTAATCCTTTCCACATGTTGCCAATCACTTTATATGGAGAATGTAAACGAATAAAACCTTCACCACGCAGGGAAAGTAATACCTTGATCTGGAGCGGGATCCAGAGCGACTGGATGATCCAGAGTAGGAGCGGGAAGATTTAGATTTGGAGGACTTTGAAGCAGAGTGAGGAACAGACCGTTTGTGTGGTGACCTGGGTGTTAGAGAACTAAGATTAGATCCAGGAACCCATTTTAATGTCAGTTCATGGGACTGATTCGGTTTTCCAGAGACATTTTTAAATATAACAGAACTAAAAGAAATCACATTTGTTTGCCCTTCTTAAATTTTTTTGTTAGCTTAAAATAGTCAATGCTTCAAAACCATTCAAACAGCTACATAACTCAGCTACAGACTCATAACACACTTTACACATGAGTTTGCAGCATCATTATGAGTCATATTTTCCTTTCCACTATACACCATTAGTCTTAAACTGAATGTAATCTGTACTTTACAGCCTCTGATTCCGATAAGTTAAAAGGTCCTTCCCGTAGCAGTTTAAACACTTTTTTTTCAATGAAAAATACTTTAACCTTTATACTGATACCATCAACTTCATACTTACTACTTTATTTAAAGTCAAAGCTTCCATCTGCACCATTTTCTCAAATATCAGCCTAAATGGGGCATAAATGTTAAAAGGACTGAACCTTTTCTAGTGCTTTAAATTGAGTCCCATTCAAATTCGCTCAGTTGTTCTGATTAATTTCGGCACCTATCCAGGAGAACACAAACTTTCTGTTATCAGAGTTAACAGGCTGACAACATTCACTCAGTTGCAGAGGAGAAAAAAAAGCACACACGTCAGGATATCCCTGGGCATCAAAACTGGGCATTTGTTAAGTCAGTCTAAAAACACTAGCAGGGAGAACAATGCTGCATCTAATAAAGAGGGGGGAAAAACACAATAACATCGGAATTCCATATGTGTCAGGGGTTTATAGAAAACTTAGATTTTTTTTCAAACCAAACAATGAAAATAGGTCAGGCGTTAAAAGGAGGAGAGGGGGATTAAACCCTTCTGAGGGGGTCCAGGGGAATGCGGCCCCAGAAGAACATTTTCTGTCATTTAATTTAAAGGGGCCAGTCTAAAACACTTTGGCTACGTTCACACTTCAAGTCTTGGTGCTCAATTCCGATTTTTTGTCAGATTTTCAAGCATTGTTGGTCACCAGCTGACTAAGACAGCTTGTCTGAAAATAAGTAAGTCAGGCTTAAGAATTGCATCACTAAATGCTTTAGACAGTGCAGCTGCACAACGTGGCTGCTTGGAATAGATGTGAAACATCTGAATGTTTACTTTACCTTTCCTTTTTATTTCTTTGTAACCTGTACCACTCCTCGGAGATCAAAACAGGGATTGAGGGTGTGGGAGAGGAGGAGCAGAGGGACGGGATTGGCGTTCCAGGTGGGATTGGAAGCTTCCAGGCAGGTGTGGTTGGTGGGTATCCAGGGAGGTAACTGGTGAGAGGATGGTGGGTTGGAACAAATGTGTGGAACGGAGGGGAGGGAAAGAGAGGGGAAGGTGTGGCTGGTAATGAAGTGTATGATGAGGAAGAGGTGGAGGTTTTACGCTGCTCTAAGCTAGATTCAGTCAAGCTTCCAGCAGGGTAATTGGAAATGGAGCAGGTACTGGAGGGGAGAGTAAACATGATCAGGCTCAAAGGAAAAAGACGAAATCAGAACCAGGCATGTCCTCAAACACACGGGGCCATACCTGTCCCTGGAGGTTGATGATCCAGAGAGTCTTGTGGCTGAATCTGTGCATAACAAAAAAACAAAGACTCTCACTAGATTTGATAATGCTCTTCTATATAATATTTATCTTATCCAACAACAACTATTGCTAATATACATGAATAAAAAAATACATAACAGAATCTAAAAATAAAACAATTTAGTGACCTACTGACCTAAAGTGGATTGTATTTGATTCATACAGACAGGCTGAAGCTGTTCTGTCCCTCCTGCAGATTTTTTCTGAGCAGACAAAGGAACTTCAGTAGGAACAGAGCTCTTATGGTTGTGCGTTTCACCGACAATGAGTCTCAGCACCTGTGGAATCAGCTCAGGTGGAGCAACAGGAGAACTTTCGCCTGAAACGAGGTCAGACGGAGCGATGGCCTCAGACTTATCTTCAGTCGTTTCTAATTTCTCACTAACAGAAAATAGGAAAAACCCATTAGCCGAACATAAAAACATTTATATTTGCTTTGCAATCATTTATTCTAGTAGCACAATCTTTTAAAGAGGCTTAAAAAGAGTCTATCATTTAATTCATTTCCCTCTCCTCATCTCTCCTTAAACCTTGTGTTTCATGGTAGAAGTCCAACTACAGCCTTATTTACAGAAAAAGGAACAACTGTGCTACAAGAAAGAGCTGCCAGAAATTTATTGCTGTGGCTGGTTTCAGTTTATATGACCAAACGCACAAAATAAAACGCCAAAAAAACCTACCGCAATATTTTATGACAAAAAAGAAAAAAAAGAGCAGTTAAGTGTGCCATTAATCCCGTCCATGAGCTTTCCATGGACTTGGCAGTAAGCTGACATGTAAGTAGGGAATGCAATGTTTCCTTTATAAACAACACAATAAAAATGTACTGGGCGTACCATCTTTTATTGCATATCTATGCTACATACCTGTTGGTTATCATGGCCTGGCTCTGTTCAGTCTGGGATGATGGCTTCTCAGAGGAGGTTTCAAAAGGAGTAGATTCTGGAATTGTAGGAGAGCAATCAATACTTTGTGATGACGGTGGTGATTTTTCCAACTTTGGCTTGTTCTCAGGAGACTCCTGTAAATAAAATATGACAAGAAGAATTAACTGGATGCCAAAACCTTCAGAAAACCAGTGTTTAGTATTTAACAAATGGTTATAGCTTTGCAAATGTGCCAAATACAGAGATAAAGCTTCCTTTCAGAGTACAAAATTTACCTGCTCTGTGCAGGGTGACTGGAGAGGTTTCTTGATCTTGTTCTGTACACTGGACGGGGTTGCAATGGGGACAGGGTTTGGTTTTGATGTTGTATTCTGAGACTGTGATGTGACACACGTATTTATCTGGCCTTTGCTGCAGCTCCTTTCTTTTTTAAAATTGTTAACAGCCTGTGTTGGTTTAAAAAACAAATACAGTCAAACTACTGCAACAGACATGCAGACAGAGTAATAGGATTACACTAAGCTTTTCTTTAATTGTACCTGTCTAAGGAATTTATTGGCTATCAAGGTGTCAGGGGAGACGTCTGATTGGCCACATGTAGGGCATAAATGGTTCTCTGACTCAAGCAAGGATGTTCGGATACCTATGGTAGACAAATGTGTTCAGAGGTAAAGAACAACCACAAAATGACAACATATCAGAAGAACAGGCAAAGCAGTTCTTAAAATGTAAAGGTATCCCAAATAAAGCCATTCACATTCAAAGTATACACGTGTGTAACAAACTCACAATCGTCACAGTAGCTGTTTGCACAACAGGGTATGACCACAGCGTCACAAAGCAGGTCGCGGCATATCAAACATAGCAGTTCATCAGGTAGAGGCTCCTCCTTTTCTTCACATTTAGGTTGCTCTTGTGGAAGGAAAGGAGGCTTCTCCTTCTTACCAACAGCATATGCCTCACTGTGATCAGAAAAGTGAAAATTGCCAGACTTTAAAACAACAAAAAAGAACTTTTAGATTTATAAATAAAAAAATCAGATCAACTCATTGAATTACACGTACGCATCTATGGCAGGAATTGCATAACGGCCGCAACTGGTCAGCATGACTCCTTTGATATTGGGATCGTCCACCTCAACCATGAAGGAACGGGGGATTCCAGTGCTTTTCTTTATCCTTGGAGGAGCTTCAAAATTCTTATCCTGCAGACAAACATTTTCTTTTACATCTATTGGAATGCTTTTTGTCATGGAGATACAGAATGTATACGTATTGGTGTGGTTAGCAAGCATCCAGTTTCCTCAACCCAACGTTAAAAACAAAAACAAAAACAAAACAGCAGCTTAAATACACAGTACAAAGTCAGTGTTTTGCATCTATACCTGTCACTTCCAAATATTTTGTGACAAGACAGCACAGAAAACAAATAATCAATAATGGCTTTCTGACCATTTGCATAATGGCATCACATACAAACATGGCTGGATGTAGCATCCTGGTCAGGACCTGCATTACCAACACATGGCTTCCAACCAGAGTTGCCCAGTCAGTCCTTGTAGTTTCCTACATATTGTTTATGTTATTCTAGCTCAGCAAACCTAATTACAATAAAAGGCTTTTTTTACCCCAGTGCTATGCAGAACTAGGTGCAAGGGGAATTCAGACATTTGCTTCAGCTGTGCTGGAGATCAGATGTATCTAAAACCAGAAGGACGGGATTTGGACAAATACTGTTAATTCAATTTTGTGGTTTTTATTTTAATTCAAAAGAGACTCCACAAAAAGAAAATACTAATGTAGGGGATACTCCCTGTATTATGATGCTGGTTGAAACCAATTTTTTTTATTAAACTAGAGAAGAACTGAAGGTTCACTACAAACCCAACAGATTGGGATCAGCACCCTTCAGACAGTCCTCTGAGGTCCATCCACAAGTGTTTAATTGACCTCAGGAGGGTTGGACATTTAAATCTGGATAGCTACCGCAAAGCCCTCCTAAGCGTGCTCAGATGAGATGTGAGCTTACCGTATTTTCACGACTATAAGGCGCATATAAACGTTTTTTTTTT